CCCAGTCAACCCACCGGGTTAACCGGGTTATACCGGGTTGAACCCGGGTTGACCGGGTTACACCGGTTTATTTTGTCACCGGTTTAGGGGTAAACCCAGACCGGACAAGGGACCGGGTCACCGGTTTCCGGGTTGACCCGGCCGGTCCGGTCCGGGTTTCAATACCATGCCTATCACAGAATAATTGCCATTAACACCTCTGTGCCACTTAATTTCATCATATCTATATGTCTCATAGGGAGAAGGCAGTGATCTATTTTTTTGCACAACCTCTTCCTCTAACACCTTTCTTAACCATTGCAAATTTTGACTTTCGTTGGGTTTAATAACTACCTTTAATTTCCAATAACATTAATGAGTCATTAAATTTTCATTAATGACATCACAATCTTTCAACCACCCATAATAAATGAGATTTTTAGATATTAATGGCACCCAATAGCTCAAGACACAAAACTCATTATACCTAAATTTAGATACTTTAATCTACTTCTATTGACTCTATTTGAATCAATAAATTCGGACCTATAACCCATATGCATCGAAATTCCAATTCTACTATTAAACCTTAATCATAAACTCTTAAATGTGGAAGAAATGAAGAGATTAATGAGTATGATACTTACCTTGGGTGTTTATAGCCTTTAATATACTCCCAATGTCGTCCACAAGTAAATCCTAGTAGAGCTTAGTGTGTCTCTACGTTTTCTCTTTTCTTTCTCTCTATTTTTGTCTTATTTCGCGTCTGATAAACTGCACAAAATGGCTATGCGCCATAGCAGATGCATAATGCACTATGTCGTATGGCACAAAGAGGTCTTTCCCTCATTTAAAAACGTCTGTGCGCTGTGGCATATGGCACAGCACCATCAATTTTTCCTTTTCTTCTCCTTTTAATGCCCGGGTAGCTCGTCTTGATATCGAACCCACAAATAGGGCTGAAATATCATGAAATATGATTATTAGACCTCCCTAGCTACACATCACCTTAACTTACTTAATTATCCTAATTAGGTTTAATTAATCAGGAGACTAAAACTTAGGATGTTACACATCCCATTCCTCACCTCCCAACAAATCTTTGAGATGATTTTAGGTGACATAACAGCTAAATGTTTCCATAAATGAGAGTCAGTATTTTTTGCAGTACAAATTGGTGTAAATCAGCTTTCCTTCCATACTTTCCCTTTAACACTCGAAAACAAAGATTCTCTGGCTTTGTCACCACATTTCAGCCAATTTTCCGAATTAAAGCCTCGTTCATTTATGACATCTTTCTTAGCCTAAAACCCCCTTCCTCCTTTGGCAACATAATATGTCCCAGCTTAATGCATGCATCTTTCTCCTTTTCATTGTAGAACAATTTCTCATTTTTATTCTCTTACATTTAGGTCCTTGTTTTTCTTCATCCTTTTGTCAATCTAGAAACTCAATGAGAGGTCAATGTTGTGTTGTACTTTTTTTCAAAAAACAAAAATCAGTGAGCTTGATGGGAAAAATGATATAGTAATGTACATTGGTGGAGGCTTTTGAAGAATTCTTGAAAATTTCTTTAAATGTAGCACTATAGTTCATTGCTAATTTGTATATGGTTAGAGAGTTGCATGAGTTGAATAAAGGGAAAATCACTATTGAGTCCTAGAAAAGCATTTCAATTATCCAAAAGTCCCATGAAATGAAGAAATTAATTGGAAGTCCCAGGGGACTTTGGAGTAAATAAGTTTTATTGTCTAATTACTAGATTGCCCTCTGAATCTTCTTCTTCCAGTAGTACTCAAAACTCTACCCTTCTTCCTAAACACAATCAACCTTCAGCTATCAACTTTCCTTATGATTGATCACACAATCTCAAAAAATTGAAGCCATCCTTATTGAATGTTTAGAAAAATCAAACAATAGTTAACAAATTCTCATATTCCAAAAAATTAAAGAACAAATTTCAAAAGAAAGAGGAGGGATTGAAGGAGATCTATGATACAGGAAGAGAAATGATGGGGTTTATGAAAGAGAAGCTTCGACGGAGGAGATTATGATCGTTTGGCTGAGGAAGAGTAAGAAGTTTTGAGCTTGGACTGATGGAATTTGGTGGAGGATGAGGGGGAAGAAGCTTCAACAGAAACCAAAAGGATGGAGGACGTCGTTTGCTGGAGACTAGAAGCAAGGAGGGCATGTCATTTGCCAAAAGCCAATAAGTTTGTTCTCCTGTCTCTTCTTGTAGGTAGTAGGTCTCTGCTCTTTCCAATAAGTGGATAAGCTAGGGGGCTTGTAATTGCAAGTATTTCTCTTGGATATCCTTGGATTGTTGGTGGAACTTCAAGGCATTGATTCTAAGTTTATCAAACATAAGACTTTGTTGGAAACGCACGGAGGCCATTGTTTTTGACAGAGCAAGGATGGGGGGAGAGAGTGTTTCGAATATGGGAGGGGAATATTGAGAGGCTAATATAGTAATTAGACAACAAAACTTATTTACCCAAAAGTCTTTCGGGACTTTAGTTAATTTCTTCATTTCATGGGACTTTTGAGTAACTGAAATGCTTCTGTGGGATTTAGTAGCAATTTTTCCTTAAATAAATGCTCGAAGCAGAAAGAGGTTGTTATAATGCATATAGGATTAGCATCCTTGACGTCTAATGCTGCCATATCTATGCCCATATTATACAACAAGCATAGCATCCTCGACTTTCAGTTTCCCATGATATCTTTTCTGCTTTAATTTATTTTTTCTTCAATCTGATTCCTATACGAGATTATGAACTAAATATAATGTTCTTTCTTTAGAAGACCAAATTGCTGTTCTTTCGTCAATTCTATTGCTATCGTTACTTTGCATCTGAGCATTTGAGGTTTAATTTGGAAACTTCTTCATATTTCCACATTGCAAAAGGCCTTTCGTTAGGCCTTCCATTATGAGTGCTTCTTAACTTTCCAGGAATAATATGATATCTTTATTGAGACAGGCAAGAGGATGTTTAGTGCATGCATTAGTGAAGATTAACAGTGAAGATATATTTTTTGATCCTATTTATAAGTTATTTCCAACATGTTTTACCAGTGTCAAAAAAAATCTTAAAACTTATTAATTTTATTTTAAAATTTAATAAATTCTTAACTTTACTTTTGTTAAATATACATACTTCAGTAATATATTTTTTCTCTTCAACATTCAATGAAAGATATAAAAGTAAATTTATGATAAAACTTTAATAACATGATTTATAAATAGGATAAAAAAATTATTTTTTTTCTCTAGCTTATAAATAGGGCTGAGGAGGATGTTTATAGTATCACTTTTATGTGTTTTTCATTAATTGCAACATCCTTCCAGACATTTGATACCTATTGAAGTCTGATCCTATCATTACTTTAGCATCATTTTGAAACCTGCGTTCATGTATCTATATTTTGCTTTTACAATGTATCACTTAGTCTGATTACATTTCTCGAAGTTAGATTTTGATTCTAAAATGATATAAATTTAAAAATTTAAAAATTCTCCAATCACAATTTCCCATCCAAAGAATCTCCATTTGAAAATTCCAATTTCAAAAAAATAAATACACTAAATTGGTAATTAGATATACAAAATTATTAGATATATTAACATAATAGTAAATGCACAAGATAATGAGATATACTCACCACCCACGTTAATAATTGCCAATTCAATCTTCATTTTGTGGGAATTTTTTGAAATTAGGGTAATAACAAAAGTATTAGATATTTGATTTATCTCATGTTTACAACAAGAAATCAATTACGTAAAAAATTTCTTCCACATTTCAACATGAACCATGACTAAAGAATCTATTATTCATTAACATAACACTCGTGCGCGCAGACGCTTAAATTTGAACTGTGTAAATGTTGTTATCTATACTATCTTGAATTTTTTTTTTTTTTTTTTGCAACAAGCATATGTAACACACAGGATTCCATTTATATGGTTAGTGGGTGGGGGTAAGCGAGAGGGTGGGAAAGGGGAGGGAGAGAAGGAATACCCTTAAGTTGGAGGGAAGGGGAGAGAAAATTCATTAAATTGAATGTGTGTTTGTATTTATATATGCATGTATGTAAATGTTTTTATCTAATAAGACAATATTTTTACTTAAATTGGATTTTTGTAAAAGTTGTGGCTTGTGATACTTTTACAATTTTCTTAAATCAAATCTGTACAACGCACAGGATTCAACAAATTGTAAGAAATAATACAAATAAAAATAATTTGGAACCAATAAATATTTCTAAAATTAGAATATCAATTGACTTTTAAAAATTAAAAGTTTGAGTTATTAGATTTTTCTCTTAATTGTATTGGGATAAATCCGTACAACGCACGGGATTTAACGCTTATCGTTATATACAAAATTTAATGGAAGATATCCGCGTGATAATTTTCATGAAAGAACCCTACAAACATGAATCTAAATAACAGAGAAAGTAAAGTAGAAAGCAATTAAAGACATCAACAAATACATCATTTCCATCTTCCGAAAATTATTTTGAAAAACAACTTCATTTTGATAAGAAAATCAAATAAAAGGACATTAGTAATTAAATTTTACAATTCAAAATGTTGAGGTGTCATCTTATCCACTCAGTTAGCTCTGAATTATTGTTATTTTTATTATTTCTTACAATTTTTTGAATTTTGTGTGTTGCACGGATTTGATTTGAGAAAATAGTAAACAGTACCATAGACAACAATTTTTACAAAAATTCAGTTTAGTAAAAATAACGTTTAATAGGAAAAACACAGGATACTAGCTCCAAAACTCACCAGAAACAAATGCTTCTCTTCACAAGTTATAATGTTGTTATTATTTATTATAACAAACCTTAATCCACTAGATGAAATCCACAAGGCATTATTGTGCTATGTTAACAACCAATCCGTTTGATACGTTGTTATAATGTCATATTATTATTTATTAAATTTGAAATAAAATACGCATAAAAAACTTCCAACACAATAAAATATGAATTAAACTAACACACAATGAATACAACATGATACTATATTTCACTTGGTGTAGTGCTCCATATACAATCCCTTGAACCGATAAATCTGTTTCTGACTGCTAAAAACAATCAGAGCAAAACACACTCTCAAATATCTGAGAAATAAAAAACAGGCCATAATGCTCATAGGATGAAGATTTTTCCGGATCACAACTTCAACCACTCCATGCAAGGGCATAAACCCCAACAAAATCTAGCAGGGTAATAGTCCTTCATGTACACCTCCCTGCTATGCCCTATGATATAGAAGCTGAAAGATCGCCGTCGGCGAGCCATGGTGACCCGAGTCACCGGCACAACCGAGATGGTGTGCCTCTCACAGATGACCCTTGCAGTGACAGGTACCGCGGCTCTTTCTGCAATGACTTCGGAGGAAAACTTGTTGAGGAAGAAAGAATCAGCAAAGAAGCCTGGAGTGCATTGCTGTGCCTGAGTGTTGCACAACTGAACCCCTTTGGCTCTATGGAAAACCTCGTCCGGAACCGATGCTGCTCCACTATTTGCATTTACTTTTCGAGTTGACAGTGTTTTCCTGTACCGTATAAATGTTCTCTTAATTTGCATTTTCACAAAAAACAAGGGCATTGTATAAGGACAGTGCACTCGCCACAAGCAAATTGAAAGAACAGATATTGCACAATAGTGAACAGGGAAGCTTGTGAGATTTCCAACATTTCATCCTATCTGCCATATTTCTCATCACATGGTAATATCTAAAAGCTCAGGGACAGTCAATTTCATTGTCCCTGCCACTAGGACCAACACCTATTAGTGAAGCTTGTTTCTTATGATGCAGAGTTTCGTGACTTGATGATAGTCTGATATGAATTTCAGAATTAGGTAAACATGAATGTACATAAGCAAAGACATACCATTTAACAGCTGCCACGTTGTGTGCCAAAAGAGAGCCACTTCCTTTGCAGCTCGCACATTTGATCAGTCCACGAGATCCACAAGTTGAACAAGGAATCTTTCCCTTACCATTGCATTTAACACATCTGCAAGAAAACTTAATGTAAGTGAACCACGAGTATAAATAAACAGATGCCTTCATAGAAACTAGCACAGCCTTGAGATCTTAACCTTGAATTTAAAATGTAATAAATTCTTGATCTTGTGCCTTGCTAAGTTCTTTGCAGCATAAATAAAATACAACAGTTTTACTAGACAATCCACGCTATGAATAACAAGTTGGACATCAAGCATCAATCATTAAAGCTCATGATCCCATGTATCATGGCTTCAATTAATCATCTAATCTCCACTTGAGCAATTAAACTACTCACACTGAATCAGATCCATCTTTATGAGCAATCAAACCCCTTCCGTGGCAAGCAATACATTTGGTCATCTGATTTTCTTTATAATATCCAGGTTCTTGGTCTGCATTACATACAGAGCAGACAACACTACCTCGTCCTTCACAAGCTGCAAGTATTTTCCATGATTTTGTGAGGAAATAAAAAAAAAAAAGAAAATGTTAGAAAATAAATACATATTGAATTGTGAAAACTAGAGAGCAAATCTCAAATCCTTACCGGGGCATTTCTCAATAATTTCAGAATGAGGAATCTTTTCTCGCACTTCTTTGTATGGCACAAACAGCACAGGAAACTGAGACCTTAAATCCAATTCCCAGACACCAAGTTCAGGCCCATTATGCTTTCCATCTACACTGCCACCAGTATATGGCTCAGTCTCTTTTATGACCTCTCTTTCCTCAATAAAAGTATCTAGAGTTCCCACATAAACATTGCAGTCTTCCACAGCATGAATTTTCCACGTTCGAGCAGGACGGCTACCCCAACAATAGCGATGACCAACATGATCAATGAGCAGTTCTCGTATTGCTACTTCATCCAGGATTCCCCTAAAAATAGATAATTCATTTTACAAGATTTGTGTCAACATTGCAACTTTATGCAAAAGCAGACATGACTATTATGTTGAGTTATCAATAAATATGCATACAATCTTGATAACAAAACGTTCTACTACTCCAATGATCCTAAGACATGATTAAATGGTGAAATCTACTAATGTATTTCTCACAAATGTCAAACCCATTTGAGTATTTATTACTTCTTTCGTTCCAAATTATAAAACACTTTTAGACAAAATTTCATACACTAATAAACTTTATTAAATACACTTAACAACCTTATCTTTTAAAAACAAAAATATAAACTTTCAAAAATACCCATCATTTAATATATTGAAAAGAGAAGGGGCAGAAATTAATTATAAAGAAAGAAAGGGTAATATTGAAATTGATACATTTAATGAAATCTTAATTTATTCAAAGTGTCTTATATTTTGAAATGGAGAAACTCCTTCAAAAGTGTCTTATAATTAGGGATGGAGAGAGTATATTCTATCTTAAACATAAACAATGGTCCCTTTTATAATGTTACCTCAACCTCTAAAATTATAATATTTTTACATGCTGTATACATGACACATTATCATTTGCATGTGATTCTATGGATGGTGCATAATATGAAAGTAGATATAGTCAACCCAAAATCATTAATTTCACAATTTCAAGAAGCCAAGATAATTTGATTCTTTGGAGACCAACATCTAACCGAAGCGATCGAAACCAAGTTTCAGTCTACCCCTTATTTGCTGACATCAATCAAACTAACTTGTCTAAATATGAAGGAATTTATTATGGAACTGTTTTAACTACTTTTATGATTCTAACATAATTCAAAAAAAACATTCCTATTTATACTTCCTTTAGCCTTGAGTTAAACCACTCAGAAAACCTAAATAGCTAGTTCCTATTGAATTCTTATGACTCCAAATTTCAAACTGCAACTATCTTGTAACTTGTTCTGAAAGCCCCAGCACAGTAGATGTACCAAGTGAAGACTAGACACCGATCTCCCATATAAATTTTGTAATTGGCAAGCTAACCAGCTCGATCAAATCTTGGTCTATAGTGTAGCTTCTACAATGCACAATAACAGCAACACTTTCTTTTTTTAAAAAAATAAACTCTACACTGATTGGACATGTTTCAGCATCACCATTGGAAGTAATGATCACAAAGAATGCTCCATAATGATGCATTGCAGTTACTGAGATGAAGTTGATTGGATCTCTTATGGTCTGTTTAACTTTAGAAAGAATAGTAACTTCAACTGAAAAATCAACCCCTCACCTATACAGAATAGTAGTTAAACCATTAGTGTCTTTCATCAAGAATTTGCAAAATATGCATTTTAGTAATCCATGATTTACGACATACTTTTTACACGTCACTATAATTTCAGCAGTTGTAGAGAGAAATCTAGGATAGAACCAAGATTTCACTTCTTTTATGAACTATTATACAGTTTGATCGGCAAAGAATCTGAACATGAACACTCCAGGAGGGGAAATAGTTTACAGTCCCTATCAGTTATACCTCTGGTATTCAGCTCTGGTTCCACTGTAGTCTCCTGCATATCCTACTTGGGGAACAATAGCTTGCTCTGCAACAAAGCATAGCATCCAGGCTTACAAAATGCCAGTAGAATTTTGAAATAAACTTTAAGCAAGAAAACTTAAAAAGTTGTAGTCCATCTTTGCCTTGTAATTACAGAAGATGATGGAAAAAGAAAAATAAACGGTCACATGTTTCCATAAAGATTGTTAATTTGAAACCGGTAATTTCTCCCATCTTCACCGAGCTAAAAAAAAAAGCCGTGAATCAGCACATCCATGAAATAGTTTTGGAAAGAAAATCAGAACAAGCGACATGAACTTTAAACCTATGAGTCTACGACACAGTCATATTGTTCCGATATTGACACACCAGACACCCGTATGTGACATGAAAGTGATGAAACTTGAAATTAACAGGAACCTGTTGTGTCAGTATGTGCTTCTTAGGACATTAACCTCATAAGACTTGACACAAGTGAAATGAATATTGGGAGTAACAAGATTACCCACCTGGAGGATAAGACTCAGGCTCAGGCGAGCCCACCAAAGCGCCATGAATAGAGGGCGGATAATAATCGGAAGAAGCAGCGGCGGCAGAACGAATTTCATCGACAGTCACCTCAGTGCCAGCCAATGATGAATTAGTAGGAATCCCAGAACCCGTCCTTCCCGCATACTGATACGCGCTCCACTTTCCACTCTCTCTATCAGCCGATTCACGTCTCGTTTCTATAAGATCCAATCACACCCAAAAGAAACCAAGATTAAAAAGACGAGTAACATTGAAAAGCATCGCTAAAAATTGAAACTTGCCGGCGAAAATTCTGTACCCGATAGCAGAGGCTGCTCCATATTGATAATTATCTGTTCTCCGAGAAATCAGACACGAGGACTAGTGGGTACGAAGCATTTTATTCAAGGTATTTGCCTTTGCCACTAAGGAAGTTGAATTGCCGATAAGTCAAATAGAGATATATAATCTGCCGCAACCGGCCGGGCTGAACCAAACCAATGATTAACAGGAGGAGTGGGGTCCACTTTCTTGCAAACGCGGGTTCTTGTTCTTAGCCCCAACAAACCAAACCAAAGCGCACGTTATAATACCAGTCCCATTTTTTCTTTCCCTTTCCCCTCCAGTTTTCACTTGTCACATAGTGGCGTTCCCTGCGGGACCGCCACGTTTCATTTGTTACTATGTTGGTGCTATGTAGCAAATATTCGTGCATATTTTACTAGCTCATAAGATTTTTTTTTTGGGGCATTCATTTGGTTTTTTTAACAATAAATCAAATATCAAATTTTAGGAAGAAGTATTTATTTGTTAACCTATAAGTAATAACATTTTAAAGCCGACTATAGGAAAATTCCTATGAGGTTATTCAAGTCACCATAGGCAAATTTCCATGATTTACAACTCCTCAAACCTTATATGAGCCATAGGATAATTTCAAAACTACCATATACCGACATTCAACATATCTTCCAACCATTAGCATTTACTAAAGCTTTCAACCAACATCTGTGTTCTCAGAACTTCCAACTTTCCTCCACCACTGCCCTAATTATCTCCAACATAACTGATACTAGTTTTGAGCTAAGGCACTCGTAGAGGAAATTTAGAAGAGTAGTGTGGGAAAGGATTAGAGGAAAGAAAATAAGATTATGTTAAAAAGGAAGCGATTGCTTGTTGGGAAGCGAATTCATAACCTTGAGTTATGAGAAAAGATCTTAGAGTTAAGCTCCCGAGAAAAAGCGAGTACTCTTCACATAATGTACGTAATGACAGCGTCTTCAACCTGATCTTGAAGACAGGGAAGAAAAGAGTTCATTTTCATGCCAATATTCACCACATGCTCTTCCAAGTTGTCCAAAGCGACATTCAACTTCTGCAGTACCTTGAAGTGACTCCATTTTTGGCTACACAAAATATGCTATTTCTAGATCCAAGAGGCATGGTGAGGACTGAGGAAGCTGAATATAAAATCAGAAAAATCTTCGTTAGCTTGAGCATATAGGATTTTTGTTCATTGATTTGCTCACTGTTATTCTGAGATAACAATCATCACTGAGAGGAGATTTATGGAGAGCAAGGCCGCTTCATCAAGTCCACAATCTAAACATGCACATGTGAACAACACAATGAAGCCAAGTTGGACAAGTCGGTGAAGGATTGGCTGGGGAATATGAAAGAACCCTTAAATCATCAAAGATCAAGTATACACTCTCTCCACTAACTGAACAGAGTGTCTACAAAATCTCTACTTGATTCGGACCACTTTGTTCCTTACTTCATCGCCGAAAAGTAGATGAAGGCTCTCGCATGGTAGCCATGTTAGCAATTGCAAGAAAAGATGTGAAATCTGTTATGGTCAAATTTCTCAAATTGGATTTTTCTGAGTATGGTGTTGTGATTAATAGTGTTTAGGACAGCGAGACGTATATGATTAAAATTTATATATAGATTTTTTGATCTGAAAAATTCATATATAAATAGGTCCCGTTGCGTATTGTATATTGCATATGATACACCAAAAATGATTACATTAGTAATTGATACTTAAATACATATCAAAATAAATGAAAATGTTTTAATATTTATTTACTATATTAAAAATAGATTAGTTAAAATGGCTCAATTTATCATTAATGAGTTAAATGACCCTTCACTCTCTTTTTCATATTCATGAATCTGGTTCATATAAATATGCAAAAGTTACAAGACAGGAACGAGTTTTATTTATATATACAACGGATTTTTCTTATTTTCTCATCCCCTAATCAATGCTTTTAACATACTATCGTCAAGAGGAACATTCAGTTTTTGCAGGACGTAGTGGGTCGATAAGTTTCTTATCCATGTCGTTGTCCTCTTCCACATTTGGATTCTTTGCATTAGACACAAAGCATCTGAAAGACCCTGCTCCTCCAAAACTCGTATAACAGGTGAAACAGGCTCTTGCAACTTTCTGAACTATGATCTTAACTTCATCACCCTAAATAGGACATTTCTATCGGGTAATTCAAGTCAATGTAGTCAAGATTGAAAGGTGCTCATTTTCACAGTAACACCGTTATTTTTCAGAAACTTCATTTTTTGTGCGCGCGCAGCAATTGGTAAGGTGATAGCTTAGCTTCCTATGGTCTCCAACTATTTTCACAACTTAGAAGTTCCATATATGAAGATGCTCGTTGTCTTTGATGTTTGACTGATATGTATTATATCACAAAAATGCCTGGTTCGTTTTCCTGGTGTGCACTTCTCTGCACAATGGTCTCTTCGTTTCCTCTTCATCTAACGCGTTATATTGCTATTATGTCTCCTCTCTATTTTAATGCCGTCATGACAGTTCTATTTTAGTTGAGCTAGTTACCTCTAAGCAATTTTTTCTTCTGGTTGCTGAAACAGATTCTATCAATGAAAGCACTTCGCATCATCTCTGGTAAGCAGGGAAGGACCATACGACCATATCACCATAGCATTTAAGGTCTGAGGATACCAGTCATCATATGCCAGGAGCATTCTCATCAACCATGGACTTTCTAAACCAATATATTTCTCTCACTCTCACTCTCAGTCTAAGAAAGTAACAAATCGTTTTGTGCTTAAAATCAAAACATCCAAACTTATTGCAGAAGTTCTCGAATGCCCTTTTCCCTCATATCCAGAAACAAAAATTTTCCAACAGATATTTGTCAATGCAGCTTCTGTTATATGATACAAAATGTTCAAGGCTGGCTTTTTTTTTTGGGCCAATAAGGTTGGCTTCTTCCTTCGGTTTCTTCGCATGGTACAAGAGACCATTTAATTTGTCAATGCAGCCTTCGACAACCAAAGATGCTTCCACCGGATTAAGTGCCTGAACATGTAAAATAATTAGTCATTGTGCAACCCACTAGAGCTTACAACCGCCAGATTTGGTGCCTTCATATACTTACATTATTTAATATATCATCGGTCTTACTAGAAATCAGTTAGGAATGGATTTTTACATCAATACTGCCAATTTTCACCTCATGCTCTTCCAAATCGTCGTGTGGGACATTCAATTTCTGCAAAAACGAGATGCTTGACGTACAAGTCAATGGAAAGACGTGAAGATCATCCTTTACAACAAAAGGTGTTAGTCTCCTCACAAGTCCCACAGCATGGGTTCCATCAGCACATCTTCGGTCGAAAAGTTTCATGGGTTCCATATTATAGCTCCAGTGGTGCCAGTACCATGAAGCGTCTCCATTTTTGGTTAACCACGAAGCATATCCATTTTTGGTTACTCAAATTATGTCGTTTCCATATGAAAAGTTAGTAGGACTTTTTTCTCCACCGAGCTTTAATGGCTGCCTCACATTCATTCAAAAAAAAAAAGAAAAGAAAAATGGCTGCCTCATACAACCATACTGAGAAGCCACTTTTAAATCCTGTAATTTAGATTCTGCGATGCTGTGTTAAGATGTCACCGACCAACTCTCTCTCCCTCTAGAATTTTCTAGGTTATATTATTAAGTTATCTCTCAAGCTTCCAGTAGATTCTAGGCTAATGGTGGTGGACCGGTGGGGAAGAACTGTCCACATAGTTTTATTACCGACATAGAAGCTATTTATAGTTTAGGTGTAAAGAGTGACATGGAGAGAGTAATCGAAAAGAAAGAATAGAGCAATAGAGAGAGTGTGAGGAAGTGAAAGAGAGAAAGAGAAGAGGGTGTGGCGGGGCGTGGCGTAAGAATAAAAGAATAAGGAAAGAGAGAGGAGTGACGGAAGAAAGAGTGTCTGAGAAGAAGTGAGAAAAGTTAAGAGTGGTGTATTTCTTTTTGAGATTGTAATAAAAATTTTAATTTCGATTAAGCTCCTTTTTTCTTCCATTCTCAAATCCCAACAGCTAATAGGACCCTTCACACTGTCGCACAGATTATGTATAGATCCGGCAGTAACATTGCCTTCTAAAAGCTTTAGAATAGATCAAGGGGCATTGTCAGGAAGCTGAATGGAAAATCAGAAAAATCTGCCTTAGCTTCAGCATACAGGATTTTGTTCATTGACTTGATCACTGTTATCTTTAGATCAATTGAACAATCATTTGCACTTGGAGCTAGTTAGATCCACCATCTTCCAAGGCCAAGAATACATCAGTGAGGGGAGATTTGTAGATCAAGGCCCACTAAAACACCATAATCTAAAAACATGAATGAAGAAAGCACAACTAAGTCCAACCAAAGGAATTTTGAATCCTGCTCTCTATCCTGTATCCATCTTGCCTACTAGCTTTAGAATGGATCCAAGGCCAAGAATACATCATCTTTTTTTTTTAATTAATATATCTGTGTAGCCAAGTTGGACAAGTTGTTGAACAGTGTTGGCTAGGTCAAATAATTATCATCAAAGATCAAATACATACTCTCGCCTCTAACAAAAGCACCATCACCTTTGGAATTATCTCTCTGCAATCTCTCTAGCCTAAAGTTTCCCACATGAGCAACTCGCTCCAGCAAAAGTACTCAGCAATTTTCCACCCACACCCCAGGAACCACATATCAAATACTTGGTGGGCTCTGTGTCATCCACTTGAATCTTGGTTTCTGCCAAAGCTTTTTGCACGGATTACGTGGCCACAGTATAATTTTTTTTTTTGGGCAGATTTCATTCCAGAAAACCTTTGTATAGAGACAAATTCAGCTTCACATACAAACACACATATCAAGTTGATAATTTACCTTCAAAAAAGAAAAAAGAAAAAGTTGATGGTCTCTAAAATGGAACACAGCAGCACCACGTTATTTCAGTCAACGTACCTGTGCATTGAAATTTTTCACACTTTGGTGGAGGTTGTTGATGCAACCAATCTCTAGTGAAAGAAGTCGAATGATGGTTCCCAATAGAAGAGTTAAGAAACTGAACAGAGCGTCTACGAAATCTCTACTTGCTTCGGCCACCACCACTCTGTTCCTTTCGTTGTCGACGAAAAGTTTCAAAGGAGATAATTGGTCTTGCATGGAAGCCATAGCCTAGCTCGCAAGCAAAGATGAAATCTATTAGGTAAAATTTCTCAAATAGAAATTTGCTTTGAGGATGGCGCTGGCTGATTCCGCAAGGAGTTGTGTCATAAGATCCACATCGACATTTTAATTGGCAAGAGGCCTAGTGAAGTATCATGATAGAGTGAAGTTAATGAAGATGTCGGCTCTTGATGGGATGATATTGTCACAAGTTTCATGTCAAGAAGCCTCACAAGTTGAGTAAGATTTATAGATAAGGAAAAATTTACATACTTAGCCTTACATACTTAAGGTATTTGTTTTCAATTAAATCAAGGCATATGCATGTATTATAGATTATTTATTCTATAATAAATTTTTTTATTAATATTATTAACATCTTAAAATTTACATATCTTGATTTAATTGGATGAAAATATATTAAATATATAAGTCTTGTCTTTAAAAATATAAAGAGCTCTCTCATTTAAAAGGCTAGCATTTTAAGATAGGTTTTCTCTTTAAGTTTGTGCTCATTATAAATTATAATTAAGTAATCTTTGAACAGTAAAGACTGGAGCATAAGAGAATAATGAAAGAGCTTCAAGAATGCATCAGATTTAGATGTATGATTAAATTTATACATAGATAGGTTCCCTAGAGCATTAATGACTGTTAAATTTTTCTTTGGCCTGAAAATGACTGTTAAATTTATACTCTTCACTTTCTTTTCATATTCATGAATCTAATCAATTCATGTTAAAATGGATAATGATAAAGAATACCGAAAGGTGCATTAATTTTGATTAATTTAAATTTTTAATATTTATTATTATTATTATTATTATTATAAATTTAAATTTAAATATATAACATTGACCAAATGTGGATGTAATTAATAATGTTACAATTACTTTAGGACTCATCATGTTTTTAAAATTTTAGGTAAAATTATGATTATCTTGAAACTTTTATCAATAAAAAATAGTCAAAGTATATATTTAATCCTTTAACTTTACACAATATTTTATGATTATCTTAAAGCTTTTTTAATAAAAAAATGGCTAAAGTATATATTTAATCCTTTAACTTTATATAACGTTTTATTTTCATCTCTTAATTTTATAAAGTGTCTTTTTAAACTTTTAACTCTAATATTGTTAATTTTATTTTGACAAATTTTTACATTGAATTTCAAATATTAACAAAGCATCTTCAAATGTTGACATATTAAGTTTAATTTTTTTAAAATAATAATGAGTGAAACAAAAAATAATCATTTAAAACTAATAATATTAAGGTTAAAAGATTAAAAAAAATACTTTATAAAATTAAAAAATTAAATTAAAATTTTATATAAAATTAAAGAATGAAAAATATATTTTTGCCTAAAAAAATCATATGCTAGTGAGTAATAATGAATGGATAGTTATTTATTTACACCTCCCCTGATCAAATCAATACACATCAAATGCTATGGTGAAGTGGCAGTGCTGAAATGCTTGCTTGAACAAGAAGTCAATGCACCACTTGAAGACAATCCATCAAAATTGAAGGATATTATAAACAAATAATAATCCGGAACCTATAAAAATTATTAACCGGGGAAGTCTTTTATTGATGCACAGCAGATGCATGAGAGGGTGAGAGAAAAACAAATATTGAAAGAAAGATATTTGTTATGGGGTGAATTTTCCTTTCAACCACCACCACTATATTTAATTATTTATAGTGTAAGTCAGGAAATGAGAAATTTTAATCATCATAATTCATTTCATATTAAAAGAAATTAATATTATAAAATATTTCATATTAAATGCGTAGGTAAACTTTTTTGAGTTGGATTTAATCAGGAACAATGTTAGTCACGTCTTATTAAACTAAATATAAGGAATTATTGATCATCAATGCCATATAATTACTCATTAATATATCCATTCCCAATGAGGTAGTAGATGTAATTCCAACGTAAATAACTAGTGTTGGTCATCTCACAACAACAATTGAAATAGATTCTTCTAATTCTAAGCCAAGGTCATATCCCTCACCTCATGTGGGGATTAGTTCTAATCACTAAAGGATAGATTCATTATATGTAGAGCCGATAATTTGGGCTGGTTGAGCTTATTTGGGTCGAGCTCAATTTGAACGGGGCTTATTTAGATCAGGCTAAAATATCCTACTCTCTTAAAAAAGCTAATATAGCCAAGCTTGACTCTAATTTTTTTTGGCTGAGTTTGGACTGACTCATTGAATTTGACCAAAATTATCAACATTATATACATAAAAAGTCAAAAATTTTAATGGTTGAGCTTATTCAGATTGGGCTCAATTCAAGTCAAGTTTAAAGTATTACACTCTCTTGAAAAAACTCATATAGTCAAGTTCAGTCCTAACTTTTTTCAGGTAAATTCGGGCTGGCCTGTCAGGCTTGACCCGAATTACCTGTTAGAATTATATGTTTTGTTAATATTGATTTCTAGTTCAAATTCATTTTTTGGATTAATTGTTTGTGCTCTTTTCTCCATGAGTTTGTTCAGGTTAACAAGATTAACAGAATGCATATATTCAGCATTTGAGGTTTTTCGTGTTGTTGGAATTTATTTATCCACCCCTAATGAAAATTGGGTCATTTTGTTGAATCAATTAGTGGAGGTTTGACATATTTTGGATTTATGAAAGTTGATCGAAATTCAGGAATTAGTGGTGGTTCCAAAATAGGAAGTCATTCTCCACATTTATTGTGATTATTCCAATTAAATTATTTCCTTTATTATGAGGCGAATTATGATAATTGTGTTTATCTTTTTTATGATGACCTCCACAATATAAATAGTGATGGATGAATATTGAAGGAAAAACTCACCCTGGAGTGAACAGCTTTCTCTCAATGTTCATTCATTCATTTGATGTGCACCCATGCCTTAAATATGACTTTAGTAGTCTAAACTTGTGTGAATAAAGGTGATAGACTCTAGTAGTCCGATCTTATGTAGGTAGTTGGAAAATTCTACTAGTTGGAAAATTCTATTACCTTAATAAGTCTTTAGTAGTCTAATCTCATGTGAGTAGTCAGGTAGATTTTATTACGCCCCAATCTGGTAAGACTTTGATCCGACTCCTTTTTCGATATATTATTTATTAATAATATTCCATCACTTGCGCACAATTGTTTCACTCTTTTAAGTTTACAAAAACTAGCATAAATTTTAAACATCCAAATTAAATATATGACAAAATCTCTAGCATGCCCCTTCCCTTTTAACCAGATACAAAATGTTCAGGTTGTGGCTTCTTCTTTTTGCTTCTTCACCAGGTAGAAAAGCCCATTAGTCAATGCAGCTTTGGATGTCAAAGATGCTCCCAGCAGATTCAGTGCCTGAACCATGTAAAATAATTGATGTCACAGCTATGAAAATAACAAATTTTTCCCAGCTTTTTCCATATTCTTAATTCACGTAATAATTTAGTCTTTAAAAGAGCAGATTTTTACCTCATTCTTGTGAATTGTCACCTTATGCTCTTCCAAATCGTTCAGGGGGACCTTCAATTTCTGCAGAAAAGAAATGCTTGAAGTAGAGGTCAATGGCGTGACTTGAAGATCATCCATCACAGCAAAAAGGGCTGGTCTCCTAACAAATCCCACAGATCCTCTCCTTCCATCACCAGATCTTGGGTCATATAACATCAGCGACGATGAACTCTGTATCTTAAAAGGGTCTTTCGAAATCACTCCATTATTGCTTAAATAGCAAGTGTTATTTCGATACACACCTGTGCCATAGTAGTATGCAGGTCTATTTTCTTCAACGACATCTAATCGCTGTTTCTTACAGCCATATTGAGAAGCCACCTTTAGATCCAGTAACGGAGAGAGTGGAGAGTATCGAGAGCGATAATGTCCAAACCATGAAGGATTCAGATCCTTCACACTTTTATACAGATTATGCATTGAACCCAGATTGACATCGCCATCTAAAAGCTTGAGACTAGATCCAAGAGGCATGGTGAGAAAGCTGAATAGAAAATCAGCGAAATCTTCCTCAGCTTCAGCATACAGGATTTTGTTCTTCGACTTGCTCACTGTTATCTGGAGATTATATGAAGAATCACCCCCATGCACATCTTGTGAAGCTAGTCTGGGTGCAAAAGAGGACACGGGCTTGGATCCACGAGCTTCTCGAGCCAAGAATACGTCACTGAGAGGAGATGCTGAGATCAAAGCACGCTTTAACAATTCCATAATCTAAAAACACACACATTGAACATCAGGTTCAATCAATGTATTATATGTGTATCGAGTGAAACAGAGTGAAAGCGACAACAATAATGACCTGGTTTAAGCCAACGTTTGGAGAGATTTCGGTGAGCTTGGTGAAGTCTGTGTAGCCAAGCTGGACAAGTTGGTGGACAGTGTTGCGTGCAGAATTTTGAAGAACTGTCAAATCATCAAAGATCAAATACATACTCTCGCCTCTAACAAAAACACCATCTCCTTTTGGATTATTATCTTCATCCCCCTCCACCTTCATCTCTTGTTCCATCAGTTTCCCACATGTGCAGCTCGCTCCTTCAAAAGTACTTAGCCATTTCTCGCTTAAACCTCTACAGGAACCACACATAAAATACTTGGTAGGCTCTGTGTCATCCACATTGAATCTTAGTTTCTGGCAAAGCTTCTCGCACGGATTTCGCGGACACAGCAACATTTTCTTGCAGATTCCATTCCACAAAACCTATTCACACACAAATTTTGTTTCATCCATGCAATTTTTATTTTTTAAAATAAAATTGAACATGGACATTCAAAAATATTAGTGCACGTACCTGTGTGTTGAAATGTTGGACACTTTGGTAGAGGTTGTTGATGCAGCCAACCTCTGGTGATCGATACGTTTGCTTGTTGGAGAGAAGCCGAACGATGGTTCCCAAAGGAAGGGTTAAGAAACTGAAGAGAGCGTCTATGAAATCTGCACTTGCTTCGCCCACAACCACTTTGTTTCTTTCTTTGTCCACGAAAAGTCTCAGAGGGGACGATAAAAGGGCGTGCGCGGAAGCCATAGTTGAGTTCACAGGCAAGAAATCTGATATGGGAAATTCTGATTCCTCAAGTGGAATTAATCAGCTGAATCCAAAAGGGAAAGTGGAAAGAGAGAAAGGAAAGGAAGAAGCAGCTTCGTGGGAACTAGCTTTTCTGTTGTTTTTTCAGCAACGGTGAGCTTCTGCTTACTTTCCAATTTGATTTTGGTGGGAAAAGTAGAGTGACGTGGACCTTGCAGTTTGTTCTGAGCCGTCCACTGACTTGGCTTCAAAACTCGCGTGCAAGTCCCGCGCTGGACGATCCTTCGCTTCTAAGGAACATTTCTTCAATAATTCAATCTATATGTATCTATTCATACGCAGACAATGAAAAATTAAAATTGAGATTGCATATAACAATAAATGATCTAGTTAATAAAGATTTAGCTTATAATTTATAAAGTTATGGGTCCAACTTTTGTTGCCAATATGAAAACATTATTAATAAGTGATTTATAAGTATTTTTATAAACATTCTAAGAATCTAGAGGTATGTACTAGCCTTGATAAGCTCTAGCTAGGATCAATGTGCTTATATTTTTATTAAAAAAATTGAGATTGCACATAAATCTTCCTTTCTTATACTTTCTTCATTAAAAAATATAAAACATGTTTAATCGAATATCATCCTTCAATAAAGTAGTTACCAACTTTCAAACTAAACCTATCTTTTCATATTTATACTTATTAAATACTCTACAATGAATATAAAGTTATTTATCAATATGAATATTTTTTTTAAAAAAGCAATAATTACACTTCGAAAGATTAAAACTACCTTATATTTTTTAAAAGGAAGGATTGTATGATATTCTACAAGGCATTTTGTATACACTCAATATGTCATAGTTGGTTATTAGAAAGAAATTGATTTAAAAAAATAAAAGTAAATGTAAGATTATTAAATGTGAAGGGAGGATAGGTGAATTGTAATGTCCTCCTTAACATTATTAGGACACAAAACACGAGACATAAATCACCATTATGATAATTAATATTAATTAAATTTTTTATATGAGGTTATCATAACTCAAGGTTTAAAGAAAAGTTTAAAATATTGAAATCCTAAGAAACTCTTTTTGAAAAGATGGTTGAACTTAAACCATAATTTAAAACAAGTTAAATAAAATAGTGAAAATATAGAAATCAATTGTAGTCCTTAAAAGTATCAAATGGAGCAATCTAGAAATTCTCTAAAAATGCACTGTCTACTACAGCTCTTGTGTTATTTGCCTTAATGGATGGCACAGAGAGATCAGATCTCTCGTTGTGTAATGTGCCGCGACACACACACCTTATGCTGTAGCGCACCCCTATTGTTATGAATAACTATTATGATAGCATTTCAAGACCAATTTTCAGAGCACGCTGTTTTGCCATCTGATATTTGATTTGAGCGATTCTAGTGTTTACATGTAGCTCTCAAAGTTGCCTAGCCATTAGCATCGGTTTTACAATCAAATACTCAACTATTCAAAAGTTAGATATCCAAACATAATTTGATCTATTTTTCTTTTAAAGCACACACAATGGTGTTTAATTTTCCCAACTTAGTACCAATGACTTTGAAACCAATTGAACTAACTCAAATGGACTGCAAACAAATTGATTAAACAATCATACAACAATACTTGCATTTCAAACATAAATTGGCCATTAAAGCCCATTTTCATAATAAATCAAAATGGTGGCATTATTTACATATCACAATCCCCTTGACTAATCAAACACACCAAACAAATAATATTACTTGCACTAATATCTTGACCTTTTACAAAATTTCATCACAGTTATAACATCTTAGACTGAGATACCACAATCACACATCATCATGTAAGTGAATCAAAACAACATATGTTCCTAAATTGACATATTTATACATTTTGTTACAAAACCAAAAGAATAGGGAAGAGCTATATAAATCTTAGCTCCTCAGATCCCCAACCAAGTCTTCCTTCCCTTTGCCCATGTTAGAGCCTTCACTTGTAAAACATAAATATGGGATGAGTTGAGGACTCAATAACTAAATAATCTAATTAAACTACTCATGCATAAGAACAATTAGTGCTATATGAAGTAACAATAAAACATATGATTAAAATATCAAATTTACAGATACACAAGGCTATACAAAAATGATATGCATGATTAATACACCGCCTTATACCCTTCTTAGTTTCTTCGACTGAATTCATGGGCTGACAATTCAATAGAACTAAGGCCATGTGACTAAACTAGTTTAAACTTACCAATCATAGGAGGCAACTCTGACCAAAAGCACCTTCACCCATTATGAACTATAAATTTTCCCTTTTTTTGAATACCCAGAGTGTCATATGCCCAATTTATTTTAAATACTAATGGATTTTCAAACAAGAATAAAACTATGCACTGGGACCTCCACGATGCTAATATATCATATGAATTTCATATAATGTCCTCTGACAACACTAGGGCGAACTCTCACCTTTTCACAATGATTATGCTCAATAATTTCACACATATAGCCACATACATGCAATTGCTCTTGGACAATTATTACTATAACCAATCATTTAGTTGCACAAATGTGTGTGCGTGTCTAGATTTTAACATAATCCTATTTTCAAAAAACCCAAATTCTAAAAAAATACAAATAAATTCCACTTCACATAGAGTTCCAAAATTCCAAACATTATATATATTACTAATACACTAGTTGAAACAACAGTATAATTTTTCACAATTTCACATAACCATCGAAACATATAAATAATAAGTTTAAATCATTTAGTTACTTCAACTCTTTTATCACTAAAAGAGTTATTGTGGTCAAATATTAACCTCACAAATGTCAAGTAGTATAACAACGCTAGATCAATATTTAATCTATAAAATTATATATTTAATAATTAGTTCTCACTTTAATTAACCTTTTTAGTCTAATTTTGGGTATCTATTATACCAAAAATCTCACTTTAATACCATTAACTCTTCCATCATACTCCATTAATTCCATGTAACACCCACACACTTAAATAAACATAAATTTTATCCCGCGTTACTCCTAAACTCTGAAATTTAACTTAGGGTTTGTCCAAACTCTAACAAAAAATTTCAAATCACTACAAAAAAGTTTAATTTAACTCCTCAAGGCCCCAACTAAGCCAATGAGTTTGGTTACAACTCCAGAAAAATGAAATCAAACCCCAACAATACTCAAAATCACAAAAATTTTGCATAAAGGGAGAGGGAGAATGTTTAGAAAGCTTACCAATGACGATTCCAAGCTCAAGATGCCCTAAAAAAATGCTCCTAAGATGAAGCTCTAGCAGAGCCAAGTTGTGCTTTCACCAATCTCTCTTTTTCCTTTTTCTTCTGTTCCGTCATCATGCACCTGATTTAACAAAATTTAGGCTCGTTCACCATGATGCATCATGTGTCTGTTGTTGCAAATAGCACAACAAATCTTAGAAAAATTTGGGCTTTGCACATGGGCCCAATTGACCCAAACACCACCCTAACTCATCTCCACAGCTGCCCAAAGGTCTAATGATCATAGTAGTGATCCAAAACCATCATTAATTCATAAAATCACTTATTTTGATCAATTAATCCTTCTTAAACATTTAAAATTTCAAAGTTAAAATCTCAGGATGTTACATGAATCATATTCATAAGAAAGAAGGGTAATTTTAGTTGATAGGGTTAGGAATAATGATTTATGAGATTTTTGAATGATGTGATGATTTACACATTTGTAATATATAATATTGAGTTTTATTATATTTACCATGAAGTGGAAGGGTGATTTCATTCATTTTATTTTATCTTTTTTAATTCATTCCATTTTTATTCTTTTTAGCAACCAAATGAGACTTGAATATTTTTTTGGAAAATAAATTTGGTCTCTAAAATTCCAACTTAAGATCAATCACTTTCTTTGGAAGGTTTGTAGTTACAGTATTAAACCGATAAATTGTTAAACTAATATATTAATTAATCCAATAAAATTTTTTGTTTATAATTAATTTGGCTATATTTCAATTGTGAATTAACGCTTGAACTAGTGTTTAAATCAGTTGGATGCCCCATGGATTTTCATTGCCTTGCCTATTAGAGAGGCTCTTAGGGAACATAAATGTCACGCATCCTTAATTGGAAAATAATTGAACATGCCGTAACTTTGGATTGCTTGCCCTTTGAGGTTGGAAGTTTTGAATGTTGGCCTTTAAATGTATGACTCTCAATAATTTCATGAACAATGACTGTAATCAAGCTTTAATTAGCTGCTTATTTGTGCTGGTACGTTTGGAAAGCCAATTGCAATAATGAGGTGTTTGACTGGTGTTTTCTGGGTAATCAGCGCAGACTTGCTAGCAACAGTCTCTCTGATTTTTGGACTCCGAAGCTGAAAATTCTTTCCAACTTAACGCGGATACTTGTTTTTTATGCTGCTGCTGTTAAAGGTGTCTCTGGATTTGCTTTTAGAATTTTGCATAAGGCTTTGCGGTGGACCTGTGTTTGGGAAGAGCCATATGTCCAGATCAGCCTGCTATTTATTTATATGTTTTTTGTTTTTTGGGCCAAGGCCTGCTAATGATTTGGTTGCTAATTTATCTAATATGCTCAAGGATAATACTAAATCTTAGTTTGCATTTTTTTTTAATGAACAAAAGTTTTGGTAAGTTAAATTGCAATATGTCTCAAAGCTTAGTGCATGTTTGGTTTGTCATTAGACAAAAGCCTGTTTGTAAAAAATTTATTTAATAAAAGTCAGTTTAATAAAAATCAATTGTTGTAATGAAATTTATATTTGGACATTTTTTTTAAAGTTAGTTGGTAAATGAAAATATTTTTAGACTATATACAGTAAAATATATTTTTAAATATATAATTATAAAAAATAATGTTAATTTATGATAATTTATAATTTCTATTATACAAATATAATATATTACAAATGTTTAAAAAATTTTATAAAATTTTATAACATTAAAAATTTTGAAGCACCACATTGTAAAAGCTTGTCCCCATGACTTTTACCAAATCTACATTCAATAAACACTTATGGAAAATTGATTTGGAGTAAAATATAATAATCAAACAATATCCTACTTTTTAAAAGTGAGAAAG